AGCGTTGGGGTCCAGCCGGGGCGGCCCGGTTCCGGCATGAAGAGAAGTCCTCGGTCTGCAAAGACGGCTCAGCCCCGCTCAGCAGCAGAGCATTGTTAGCCACAGTCATCCCAGCTGGCCGCCGCCCCCCTAAACCTCCCAGCACCAGCCGACACAGACAAGCTGTGCCATGCTGCCCCTCTGCCCCCCGTTGCAGTCCCATGGTGGCTGTGCCGGCACCATCAGGCCGAGCACCAGCTCATCGCCCTCCTGTCCCTCCCGCCCCTCACCTGGGCTTTGCGTCCACGGTTGACGAAGGTGCAGATGGGGTTGTAGGCACCGGTGCCACACACGTAGAGGTGGGTCCGGTTCCAGGGCTGGATCAGGCGGATGAAGTTGCCACACTCCCCCTGGGAAGCAGAGGAGGGAGGTGACAACCCCTGCAAGGGGACAGGGGCACTCCCCCCTCCCACTGCCCCCCAGCACCCACGTGCATGTGGTACACACCATGAGAGCAAAGCCCCCTGGCATGGGGTAGAACCTGGGGAAGGGAGAAAGAAGGTCAAGGAGCCAGGAGGGTGGGAGGCTGGCATGGGACATGGCACGGGGCCATGGGTTGGGGTGGGGCCACAGGTTGGCATGGTCATGGGTTGGGATGGGGCATGGGTTGGCCTGGGTCAAGGGGTGGCATGGGTCAAGGGGTGGTATGGGGCATGGGTTGCTTTGGGTCATGGGACAACATGAGTTATAGGTCAGTGTGGCTCATGGGTTGGCATGGGCCATGGGTTGGCATGCTGGAGGGCCCAGCCCTGACCAGCAGGAGGAAGCAGCATGGCAAGCTTGGCCTCCTGCTTGCCCAGGAAGCTCTGCAGGACCTGCACGGCTGGGACGGAACAGGTGGCAGGACACTGACACCTTGGAGGCAACCCCATCCCAGGATGGCTGCAGATGCTGCTGAGCTACAGGGGACCTTGGGGGATGGCTTTTCCAGGGTAAGACATGAGGACAGGAATCCTCTTCCAGTGCTGGCCATCAACTGCCCCATTGCTACCAGAAAGGGGTTCATGGTGGCCACTCACGTTGCTGTTCTTGCCCGACAGGATGCACTCCTCGATCCTCTGCTGGGACGCGGGCCAGTGGATCTGCAGAGACACCAGCCCAGGGGAGACCAGGGCTCCCACCCAGCCCCACCTCTTCCCCACCAGCACCAGCGATGCACATCAAACTCTTGTCCCAGCATCCAAAATGCCCGCCTGGGTGCCCTCCTTCCACCCCTGCCCTGAGACGGCAGCTTACGATGAGGGGCTCGCGGTTGATGTCATGGAGGTCCAGCGAGAGGACGTAGTCCTTGCTGCCCACGTACATGCGGTCGTGGTCTTTGTCACTGGAGTTGAGGAGGAAGTGGAAGAAGTGTGCTGTGCCCGTCGCCTTCAGCTCTGCGGGGGCAAAGGGGCAGGCATCAGCACCCCAGGGACCACCACCTTCCGCGGTGCCACCCCTGCCCCTGAGTCCAAGCTTGATCCCAGCTGGAGGACATCCTGCAAGAGGAGGCGCCCACCTTCCAGGCCGTGGGGTCCACCTCCATGAGTGTCACGATGTTGTCACCTCTATGCAGGACATGGGACAGTGATGGAGATGCTCATGGCCGGTTGGGACAACCAAGAGTGGCCAAGGAAGTGGGCAGCAAGGAACTGGGCTCGGGAGACCCAGCATCCCACAGCAGAGAGTGGAGCTCCCCACTGAGATGGAGCAGGAAGGGGGGTTCCCCGGCACCCCAGCCAAGAGCTCGCAGCTCCCAAAATCTCTGGCACAGTCCCTCTCCTGCCCTGTGCCCCCACATCCCAGTCAGGCCACTGGCTCCTCAGATGGGGGAGCTGACACCCTAAGGAGCCAGCACCCCAAAGAAACAGTTCCCAGGGAGGGGACGAGGCTCTCCCCCGCCCTGCGCACCCCATCCCCCCCTTGAGAAGTTATTTTTAGCCTGAGTGTGGGAGCAACGAGTGAAAGAGGATAATGAGGGTCATGAATATTCACAAGTGCAATGAGGCAGCCAGATGGAAGGCAGAAGTGCTGCAGATGATGTGGGCCCGTGCCAAGGACCACGTGGCAGGGGCCAGGGCATGAGCAAGAGAGAGGACTCTACCCCCATGGGACATAATCTGCCCTGGGTGCCACCTCCTTTGGAGGTGCCACCCCTTTGGATGCCACCAACAGCTATTGAATGCCATTCCCAGCCATCAGATGCCACTTCCTCTGGAGGTGTCACCCCTTTGGATGCCAAACTCAGCCATCAGATGCCACCTCCATGGGATGACATCTGCCCCAGATGCCACCCACTTTGGAGATGCCTCTCTCTTTGGATGCCCTCAACAGCCATCAGATGCCACCTCCAATGGACATGATCTGCACCAGATGCCATCCTCTGTGGAGGTGTCACCCCCTTTGAAGGCATCACCCCATTCAGACGCCACCTGTAGCCATCAGATGCCACCTCCACATGATGCCATCTGCCTCTGATGCCACCCCCTTTGGAGATGCCGCTCCTTTTGGATCTGCCACCTTTGGCCTTTGGATGCCATCCTCATGGAATGTCATCTGCCCTAGATGCCACCTCCTTTCACCTCCTTTGGATGCTAGTGTTCATGGAACACTGGCTCCATGAACACCTCCACCCTGCAGAGTTTGTCCCTCCATGCAGGGATGTGCCCTGTGCAGGTACCAGGTGCTGGGGCTGGGGGTAGCCCCCGGGGACCCCCCCACTTCTTCCCAGGCAGGTCCCAGGGATCGGGAGTGGGAAGGACCACGTCGGTTTCCAGGCAGAGCCGGGCA